AGTTTCGGATACACATAAACAAAAACCAATAGTACTGGCAACGTATCCTGCATAAATACAAGGAGGATGTATAGCCAATACGGGGTCTTGTAGTACAGGGTTGAATTCTTTTCCCGAATCAGTGCTTAAAAAGGAAATTCGAAGAAAAGGATTGGAGGTTAAACATAAAAAAACAGAGAAAAATAAAGCAATCCATTTGTGAATCATAAGAGGGGCACCAGTCAAGGCAACTTCGTTGTGAGTTCAAAAACAAAAGATATAACCATAAAGACTCAGGATCCAACACCATAATAAGAGACTACCTTCATGATTCGACCAAGTTCCAGAAACTTTATAAAATGGTTGCTGGGCATATAGCCTCTGAGGATCCTACTCATTGTAATCAACGATTCCAAATATTCAACGTCATGACAATTGAATTACAACTTTGGTTTCCTGCTGATTGCCCCGAATCTTGGATTGTTCCTCAGTGTGAGAATTCGGAGGACCAAGATTCATAGGGGTTCCCAGCAAATAGCCCAGTGGTAAGAGACAACTTTATGTCGTGAGTGAGGCAGTTACCTGCCGCCTCGTGGAACCCACCCTGCCTCACTGGCAGGGCACAGGAAAGAAACAGAAAAAAGGAAAAAAAGAAAAAAAGAAATGGAAATCATGTTCCCACCATACTAGCCAGATACATTCATTAAAGCACTGGTATCACTTTTTTTTTTTTTTTTTTTTTTCAAAGGCTAATTCTTTAAGCCCAACCAATTCAATTACCTGTCGAATCTGAAAGGCCGTTTTTATTGTCATTATAGTATTACAGGGAACCCCGTAGCAGCCACATCCGTGCTCAAGCCTCCAACGAGAGAACATGCAGGAGCTGCACCCACCAGCAGGTGCTATACCTGCTACAGCAGGTGGGCGATACCGGCCAGGGGTCAGCCGGTAGCATCAGGACCGAGCTTCTTCGATGGGCCAGTCACTGTGCCTCCCCTCCGGTCCCCTCCCCCTACGAGCATCATCAGTCTCTGCTCAATGCCATTCGGGGGGACCAACGGCATATCTCTAGGCGGCGGGCGCCTAGCTTGCGCAGGAAGGTACATGAGGCCAACGGGGATTGAACCCAAGACCTCCTGAATGCCACTTGCGTGCCTTACCAACTGAGCTAGGCCGGTATCACTTCCATCTCTGTGGGTGCCTTCCCCTATGAAAACAAATGAAGAGAGAAAAAAAAAACAGAAACTTCCCTTATGCCGCTATCGCCGCACAATACAGAACGCCACAGCGTTTGATGTTAGTATGTCTTGAGTGAGGCCGTGACCTGCCCCCCGTGGGAACCGCCCTGCCTCGCTGGCAGGGCACGAAAAAGAAAAGAGAACAAGCAAAAAAAAAACGCAAACAAAAGGAATCACATTCCTTACATTCTGGCCAGATACACTCCTCAAAGCACTGATGTGACTTTGAACTCCTCACGGCGTTGCTGGATTCGACGTTCTTCATTTTTTTTTATTTTTTATTTTTGCCTCACTGAGGGCCCGCGGGGTCCCCAATCTTTTTTTTTTGTTTTGTTTTTCCTACCGACCCTGCACCGGACCCCCGAACTTTGCGGTTGAGGTCATTTTCCCAAATTATTGGACTACAGCTTGGAAAGGTAGTGGTGGCTAAAAAAAAATAAAAATAAAACTGGCACTTCTGGCTCTCTAAGTGCACGACGCTGTTTTTCTTTTTTCTTGTTTTTTTCATGATGCAATCAGATGCATAGCATTCATCCACCAACCAGATACCTGTTGTTTGTCAAACAATCCATGCAAGCAGTAGGGTTCTCCCTTTCTCCCAGACTGAAGTTTACATTAAGTTCATGGCTCCTTTTTTACAGTGCAAAATCCATGCAAGCAGGAGCGTTCTTTCTCTCCCGTCCATGAAATTTCACCCGTTTTTTCCCCCCATTCAAGCAGGGGCTGTTCTCCCCCTCCCAGCTGCAGACATTTCACTCTTCTCTTTTCCATGCAATGCATGCAAAAAGCATTCTCCCTCTTCCAGACTGAGGTCCTCACGAAAGCTCATCTTTCTCTTTCGGTGTGACGCATGCAAGGAACATTATGACGTTTGCATAGCCTTTTCTCTCTTCCACTGCACCTCCTCACTCACCCAGACCCAGACCCAGACCCAGACCCAGACCATGGATTCCATTAATTTCTTACCTGCATCAATAAGGTTCTTTGTCCCTATGTAGTCCACTTGGTAGGGTGTTGTTATACCGGCAGTTTCAGCAGCACCCACTGTACAAACCACTTTGCCAGCATTCCCAACAGCAAGAGGAAGGGTCTCCACGTTGTCCAAGTCGAACTCCACTATCTCCAGCAACCTTTCCTGATCAGCAGTGATCAGGTTATACGTCCGCGCCGCCTGGATTAGGACAGCAATGGATCAATACATGAAGAAAGGAGAGGGGAGAAAGGAAAGCATGGATGAGACAAACAGACAAATGAAGGAACAAACTTCCAGAAGTTACACTTGAATGGTTAGGAATAAATTGCAAAAGGAACAAAAAGTTTCCATTTCTCAAATGTGGCAGGTTTCCCTAACCACACTCACTGCACTCCCCGTCCCGCCTGCCCCGCAACATGTGTACACACAGAAAAAAAAAACAGCACAAAGATCTTTTTTT